CAAGGAGTACTAGGATGTGATGGGGCAGAGGGAAGGCAAGAGGAATAAATAGAGGCCACGTCTAGAGCTAGTCAGGCACCAGATTGTTAAGGGCTTTGAAGGAATTACAATTTATTAAGATTATGTAGATCCATGAGAAATTATTGGAAGACTCTAAATTGGGAATGGCATATCCAGTAGTTAACTGGGTATGCTGATTTGTACTTCAACTGTTAAATTTGAAGCAGGAGAGTTAAATGTGGCAATCATCAGCATACAGATGAACTTCTCTGAGTTGGGGAAGAGAGGAACAGAATAAGATAATTACTATGGCATACTCTTCACTCACCCCAACTCCCACTGAGAAAATGGAAAGGAGAATGGGATGAGAGGAGCTTGACTCCTCCTCTCCTCTGTAAGCAAGTGGAGAGCGCTTCTTTCTCCCTTCCTCCCCAGGTTGGACTGTGGTAGAGCTGTGGAGACCTCCCTTATTTTCCAAAGCTGTTTTGACTTTTTGCTTACCAAGGTATTATCCATTTAAAAACAAGGTTGAAGGCAACAGATGGAGGTACAATGAAGCTGTAGCTCTAAGATCTGCAAGAAGAGAGGCACTCTGAAGGGAGAAATGACATTTTGGATGATACTGACAATGCTCTTTATGTCTAAGCAAGGGTTTACTGCTCAATTTGGAGAATTGAAGGTTTTTTCCTTTTTTTTTATTCCTTTTTTGAATAAATACATTGAATGAATGAATGGATGGATGAATGAGAAGGAATGCTAATAGAAAGAGTTTGCAAACTCTGAGTAAACAAGAGAGAAGAGGCCCAAGCCTTATGGAACATTGAATAAAAGATCATAGAAAAGCAAAATGATACTTCTTCATGTAAGTCCTTCACTTCTCCTTCCTAGATTTTTTCACCCTCAATTGCCTCAGTGCAAATTGAACCCATGCTTATGTTAAAATTTGATGTCTTTTTCTCCCTTCTTTATGCCATTATTTTCTCATTTGTTTTTAGGTTTTTGTCATAAGGTATGTGTGCTCACTAGAGAGACAAAGAGAGAAAATGAGATATCACCCACCACGGGGGATGGCCACAGCCCAATCCCTTTTTTTACATTCTTCTCCTGCGATTTTCAGCGTGTATGCACAAACACACACCTGGCCTGATTTTCAAGCTACCACATCTGGGACTCGAACCACAGTGGGCCATGTGGGAATCCAGTGCTTTAACGTGCCTCCAACCATTCTTATTTATTTATTTATTTTGAGAGGTTTTTGCTATAGGGCGCGTGCGCTCGCCAGACAGACAGAGAGAGACAGAGAGATAGAAAGTGAGAAATCACCCCCCAGGGGGGATGGCCACGCCGCAATCCCTTCTCCTCCATTCTCCTCTCGGGATCTTGGGCACGCATGCACACGCGCCCAGTGTGAGTTTTAAGCCACCAGGTCCAGGACTCGAACCGTGGTCAACTACGTGGGAGTCCAGCAACATAGCCATTATGCTAACTGCTGGTCCCTCCAATCATTCTTTTTTATGAAACCATTGGAAAAGTCCAGCATAGACAAAAAGATGTTTTGGTTACAGCTCAAGAACAATCAGAACTTCCTGGAAAAGAAGACTGGTAGTTTGGATGAGGATATTTTTGTATCCCAGATATCTAGTACACAGTACATGTCTGTTGCTATGACTTGACCTAAACAATTTGGTTAGGTACAACCGCTCAGTAAATAATGGTAGCTACCAATATTTAAAGGTGATCACCTCCCAATCGTCCTATCAAGGTAAAACTAGTTTTAGACCAAGTCGTCGGGCATACATCTATTAAACATTTATTAACAAGCAAGCACAAAATAATTCATACAATCCATCTGTACGTTTAATGAATTCCTTACTCTTTTTGTGTTGTTTTAACAAGACATGGTATGAAATCTTTACTCAAAGTAAATGTGGCAATATTTTAAAGGTAGAAGTCAGTTAGATTTATTATCCACATCAGGTAAACAGAATCCTGTGAGTAGTAAGACCCAGCTCTGTTACAGAATCAATCTTTGAGAGTCTTCAAAACAAAACAAAGCAAAACAAAACAAAAACACTGGAGGGCTTACTAGAATCTCACATTTGAGGGCTGAAATAGATGTAACTTATTTTAGTCAATTGGTATATTTTAAATTTTATCACTGATAATTCTATTTTGAAAATAGCCCACAGATTTTCACCAGAATTTTTCCAGCATGTATTATGCTATTGGTTGATCAGCAAAGTCATGTGTTTCTATACAAAAATGCATCATGACTGTTTCAACAACCCAATAATTAACTAAGTCTTTGTATTGATCAGAGATAATAACAGAAAGGCTTTTTTAGAAACCTCTGGATTATGGATGTTTCTGACTGACTAATAGTTGATCAGAGTTGGAAGATAACTCCTGATTAAGGTAGCGAACTGCTAGAGTGTTACTTTACTACACAAAGACTATCTTATCATCTGTGTTGAAGTATTTTAAATCATAGAACTCATAACACCTGCCGTGGTTAATATTCTAGCCTACTTGCTAATAGGAACTTCACTTAGTTTCTTCCCACAGTCTTTGTCAACTGGGCAGCCTGCATCATAAATCAGCATGAAAAGTGATATGTTACCAGTGCCCTTTAAAACAATGAGAACACTTAACATTAAACCATACCAAAATGGGCATGTCGCTTTGCATTCACACTGATTAGCTCATTCATATTCTACAGGAGTAAAGCTTCAGTTTGCAAAGTGGTCCAAAATTCAATATGTCAAAGCACAGCATATATTTAATTACATAATTTGATTAACAGTGCTTTAGAGAGCATACTTGACATTTACTTAGGAAATTTGATTCCTTCGGGAGTTGTTCACTGCTAGGAGATAAATATAAATGTATATTAACATTGTCTTCCAAAACCAAAATTGCCTTTCCATCAATAAACCAATCATGTCAGTTTTGGTCAGTTTTAAAAACTGAGAATTGATGGGTGTTTTTGTGTTGTTATTCAACAAAGCCAGGTAAATGACAGGATGCCCATTGCACTATTGCAAGGAGAAATGACATCTTTTAGTGAGGACAACATTGCAACCAAATGCTTAAGAAATTCTCATGGATATCTATATTTAAAAGACTGCCTTTAAAAGTACGATTTGCTTAGACTATCTACCAAATTTATTTATTTTTGATAAGATGAGTAATATGCTTTATGTTATTACATTGGTAGCAAATTGTACTGGAATGTGAGTTCAACTTGAACACTACAAAAAGTATTTTTCTGCTTACTCGAGTTTATTATTGAAGTACAGGGGCTCCCATCTTTCTCCATGCAAGAGTTCTGCTGTGTAACTTAATAGACTGTAATTTAATTTTCAAATATTCCTCCAACTGTCCTCTCTTTATCATTGATAGGGAAGGGACAAATAGTCAGTAGGCGAGACCTACTAAGCAATTTGCTGTGAGGCTGGAGGGAGGCAAAGGCTAGAAGGATGGTTACCAGGTAAAATGCAGGATTCTCAGCTAAATTTGTATTTCAGGTATAATTTTTTTTTAGTATGAGAGAATGTGTGTGTATATACATATTATGTGTATATATGTATGTAATATGCATATATGTGTATAAGTGTGTATAAAATATGTAAGTAAGCATAGTATATAAGTGTGCATGGTATAGACTTACACTAAAAAATGATTTATTTCTTAAAATTCAAATTTAACTGGATGTCCTATATTTTTGTTTGCAAAATCTGACAACTTTAGATAGGGAATATGGGATGCCTACTATTTTAATTTCTATCTTTATCTGCATTGAAATTATTTCCTTTACTCATGATATAACATGCATGTACTCATGTGAAAGTGAAAGAGGAGCACCTTTCATAAGGTCTGGTCACATCCTGAGCCTCTTCTACTTCTCCCAACCACCAGATCTTGGGCACTCGTGTGTGTGCCTAGCATATTTCAGGCCAGACAGGCCAGGGATTCAAACAGTGCTTACTCTGTGCAGTGTAGAATCCAGCTTCTCTTGAGTGATGCATTATTACTGTCACAGAACCAGTCTTTCAGTGCACCTTGAATATCGTTTAAAAAACAAAAGTGATCTTAAATGACAGCTTCTTCAGGAAATAAATCTAAACTGAGATTTAAACTTTTTTTTTTTTTTTTAGGTTTGTCTCATAGGTTGGATATTCTCACCAGAAATAGAGGAAGTATGAGAAATCACCACCCCAGGGAGGATGGCCATGCCACAATGCCTTCTCCATTCTCCTTCTGGGGTTTTGGGTGGGCATGCATGCATGCACATATGCCCAGTGTGATTTTCAAGCTGCCAGGTCTGGGACTAGAAGTGTGTGGGAGTCTACTGCCTTAACCACCACTGTAGTGTATCCTAAACATTTCATTTTTAAACTCCCTGGAACTTTGTGAATTTTTCTTTCTCATTTGTAAATCAAAGTGATGAGAAAGGCAGACTTAGATCGTTTGGAAATGAGTAACTGTGGGCAATTAGAGGGGAAATTATATGGACATTAATGGTGGATCATTAGTTATTGGCAGTTTGTAGACTGACACACAACACACCTTGAACTCTGGGAGGCTCTCCATAAATAACTAAATGGCCAGATTTAGAATTAGATAGACGTGAGTTCTAGTTACAAAACCTATGATAAGACTTTGGGCATTATTATCTTCCCTAATACAGTAAACTGAATAAAATAGCGGTAATCCTGTTTTGAGGATTAAATTAAATAATAATTGTAACATTCTTGGCATGATATTTGACACATGGGAAGTACTACAAAGTTGTAGTTTTGGAGCCAGCAGGTAGAGTTGTGATTAAGGCACTGGATTTCTACATGGTGAACCGTGGTTTGAATCCTACATCCAGCAGCTTGAAAATCATGCCAGGCATGTGTGTGTGCACCCCAGATCCTGAGAAAATGGAGGAGAAAGGGTTATGGTATGACCATCCCCCACCTAGGAGGGTGATTCCTCACTTTCCTTCTCTCTGTCTCTTCCTATCTATCTCTGGTGAGCACATACACACCCTACATCAAAACCAATCATCCAAAAAAAAAAAAAAAAACATAATTGTAGTTTTTTTCTTTTATGACCTTTTAAGTCAGGTGATTTTTTTTTTACACTAAATTGGATATTAATCAAGAACACTTTTTAAAGAAGATCATTTCAGAGAAAATACCTATTAACTATATAGAGTAAGAAACAGAAATAAGGGAAGCTATTTTCTCTAAAGAAAGGGAATATATGAGCAAGTTTGCTGATTATATTTTTCTTCCCTGTTAACATTTTCTTTCTTTTATTGATAGAACCCTGGAAATTTTCACTTAATCCTCCCCTTGCCTTTCTTTAAGGATAATTTATTACGTTTTCTTTACAATTTATCTGTTCCATTCTTAAGGGAGAGGCAGAGAGACAGGGATCCCTAATAGGGTTCTCATGCTGCAATAGACCCCTGTCTTAGTCTCAGCTGGTTGAATCATAGTCATGTGCACATGCCTCATGTGCTAAGACAGTATCGGGTTGTGAACCCAGGACCTTTCCCATATGGGTCCACTTGCATTACTGTGTGCTACCACCTGGCCCCTTAAACTCCTTTTAAAAAACATATTAGTGCCCACCATTTGTCCTGGCTCCTGCACAGCAGAAGCAAGTGTGTGACAGACCACCTTGGAGGCCCACTATCTCCTGTTTATTACAGACTATAGTTTACTGAAGCGCAGCGCACATTGTGCTTGCCACGACCCATACTTTCTTTTTCATTTGAAACCCTGCAGCTCAGCCCCAGGTGCATCTGCTCCTTAGAATCTAGGAGGCATCTGGAATACCCAGTTGCAGCAACAAAAGTGCAGGTTACAGGAGAACATCAGGGAGGTGGACTACAAAGAAATCATGGATCACATCCTCCCACACACCTCTAAATGCTCAAATTTAACTCTAAGAAATTAGGAAGAAATATATAATTCATCAGATAACCAGAAACCATTGCAGAGGCACAAGAAATATAAGAAACAAAGAAAATATCTCTCCCTCGAGGGAAAATAACCTCCATCATCTTCATTCCCATAGCAGATAAAGACATGACAAAAAAGGAAAATGACAGACCAATATCTCTGATAAATATAGATGCAAAAATCCTCAACAAGATACTAGCAAATCATATCCTACAACATATATAAAAAAAATTATTCATCACGACCAGGTAGGCTTTACTCCAGGGATGCAAGGGTGGTTCAATACACACAAAGCCATAAACGAAGTACACATTAACAGAAAGAAAGATAAAAATTATATGATCATTTCAATTGATGCAGAAAATCATTTGACAAAATATAACATCCCTTCATGATGAAGACTTATAGCAAATTGGCACAGAAGGATAATTTCTCAACACAATAAAAACCATAAATGAAAGACCTATAGCTAACATACTGAATGGGGAAAAGCTGAATGTTTTCCCACTAAAAACTGGTACAAGACAAGGTTGCCCAGTTTCTCCACAATGTAGTTAAAAAATAGTACTGGAAGTCCTCACCAACACAATCAGAAAAGAGAATAAAATAAAAATCATTCAAATAGGAAAAGAAGAGGTGAAGCTATCTCTATTTGCAGATAACATGATGGTATACATAGAGGACCTAAAGGTATTCATGAAAAAACTTCTCAAGATAATAAATGAATACAGCAAAGTGGCAGAGTAAAATATCAACATATAGAAATCTATAGCATTTCTACATAAGAAAACCAAGCTCCCTCAGGTAGAACCATAGACACAGAAAGTATAAGATACTTAGGGATATGTCTAACCAAGGAAGTCAAAGATCTTTACAAGGAAGACTATGAAAAGATTTTAAAAGATATTGAAAAAGACACCAAAGATGGAAGGACATCCCAAGTTCCTGGATTGGAAGAATTAACATGATCAAAATGGCAATTCTACAAAAAATAATCTACATATTTAATGCAATACCAATCAAATTAGTAGAGACATTTTTCACAGATTTTGAAAAGACAATCATAGAATTTTTCTAGAATCATAAAAGATTTTGTATTGCTAAAGCAATTCTGTGCAAGAAGAGTGGAGTGGGCAGCATCTTACTCCCTGACCCCAAAATTTAAAGCTGTAATAATCAGAACAGTGTGGTATTAGTACAAAAACAGACCAATGGAACAGAATAGGGACTCCAGAAATAAGCCCCAAAACATACAGCCAACTGATTTTTGACAAAGGATATCAGTCAATCCAGTGGGAAAAGGAAAACCTCTTTAGCAAATGGTGCTGGAGAAAGCTTGGTATCCACCTGCAGAAAGATGAAACTGAACCCCCACCTCTCACTATTAACAATAGTCAACTCAAAATGAATAAAAGATCTAAACCTAAGACCTCAAACTATCAAACTATTGGTGGAAAACACTTGGAAAACTCTGGGAAACATTGGGGTAGGCAAAGACTTCTTAAGTAAGACCCCCCCAAAGTACAGGCAGTAATCCCAAAAATAGACAAGAGGGATTACATCATATTAAGTTTCTGCACAGTGAAAGACACAGTAATCAGTGTAAATTGACAACCCTTGGACTGAGAGAATATTTTTGTAAATTATGCATCAGATAAGGGACTGATAACCAGAATACACAGGAAACTCAAGCGGCTTACCTGATAAAAACATGATTAACCCAATTAAAATATGAGAAAATGAACTGAACAAAAAGCTCTAAGGAAGACACATATGACTAGTCAAAAAGCAGGTGAAAAGACGCTCAACATCCATCATCATAAGGGAGATGCCATTTAAAACCACAATGAGATACCGCCTAACTCCTGTCAGAATGGTAGATTAAAAATACAAAAAAATGTGTTGGCAGCATTGTAGTGAAAGGGGAACTCTTCTAAACTGTTGGTAGGAATGTAAATTGATCTGGCCACTGTGGAAAACAATATGGAGTTTCCTCAAAGACCTACAAATAGAACTACCATGTTATCCAGCAATTCCGCTACTCCTGAGTATCTACCCAAAGGACAGGAGAATGCTCCGTTGGAAAAGTGCTTACACATCAGTGTTTATTGCAGCATTTTTCATGATTGCAAAGACATGGAACCAACCTAAATGTCCATAAACAGATGAATGGATTGAAAAAGTGTGGTACATATACTCTATGGTATACTATTCAACCATAAAAACAAGACCCTGGCATTTGATAGAAAGTTCATGATTATGAAAGAATATGAAAGTGAAGTAAGCCAGGTTATGAAACAGAGACATTGTATGTTTCCACTTACATATACTGAATGTCCACACTTTATGGTTGAGACTGAAAGACTGGAAGACATAAATGCACTGAAAATAGTTAGGGATGCTGGAGACAGTGTGGAAGGAGGGCAGGAGAGGGAGAGATTGTAGAGAAGGAAATCAGGGAGAAAAAATAGACAAGACATTTGTGGGTCACAGAAATGATTTATTACCTATTGAAGATAACGTGTATAGTGTTCTCAACTGGACTGGTCTAAGGTGTATTTCATGTTGGGTAATCATCTTTACAAGCTAGATGATGTATAGTGATTGAATATAAAAAAATAAAAAATTAAAACATATTACTAAATGTCACTAATAATTATTCATTTACCATTTGACTAAAATCTGAATTTATGTCATCAGTAATAATGGTAAATCTAGAGGGCTTTGGTGTTTCAATGTAGAAATATCACATCCTGAAGTATTCAGAAATGTGTGAGGATTTTATTTTATTATTATTATAATAGACACTTTATAGTTCGATATATATTATATAGTGTAAATATATATTATAATAGGACTCTTTAAATATTCAGTTTTTATTTTAAAAGTATTGCTTTGGACACATTATCAAAATTATCAAGATATTTTGTAATATGCTAAGATAGGTAAGTGTAACATAGGAAAACGTGATAAAATTGGTATGCTATACCTAGGCTTTTCCCTTAAGTAAATCAGTGTATATAATCTGGTGAGGCAAAGTCTCAGAATCTCAGAGGATGAAACTGCTATCCCCAAATTAGTGTCCTTTGGGTACTGTTTGGATTTCACTTGCCCACGTTGACTAAAACATCCTTCCAGTTTTTGGGGTGAGATCATTCAATTCGTATATCTTCCTTTTGTGGAATGAAGAAGCTCAGTGGCTCAGAAGAAACCAAGTTCTCTTCAACTCTGTATTTGAATTGTTCAGGGATTTTTGTCAGTTAATGGACAAGGTTTAGGGTAATATTTTCATTTATTAGGAAACTACACTTATTCATGTCCTAGGTGCTGAGAATATATGGATGAAATATTACCCAAACAATTAGTGGTTAACAGGGAGATGGACCCCCAGTGTGTATGATGTGGTTGGAAATAATGCATATGTAGAAGGGGAGGGAAGATAAAGTAGAAGGCAGGGGAAGTCCTCTGAGATCAGGCTTGGAAGTGAGAATAGCCATGTGCCCCAAGGACTTTGCCACAGTAGCCACCTTCAGAAGTAAAAGAAATGGAGCAGGTTAAGTGATCTCCCTAGAAGATGATCCATTTAGGAGATCATAAAAAGAGAGCCAATGGGTGAAATCATCTTAGACCAAGAGTATTAGAATTTTTGGACTCAATTTAAAATAAGTCTTATTTTTTTACTTTTTATTTTTTTAGAGTTGATTAAAAACAGCAATAGAGGGACCAAGAGGTTGGGCTCCCACATAATTGACCATGGTTTGCATCTCAGACCTGAAGACTTAAAACTCACGCTGGTGCATGTACATGCATGCCCGAAATCCTGAGAGTAGAATGGAGGAGAAGGGATTGTGGCATGGCTATCCCCTCTGGGGGGATGGTTTTTGCTTTCTGTCTCTCTGTCTCTCTGGCGAGTGCACGTGGCCTATAGCAAAAATATCTCTTAAAACCAAAACCAAAAAACCACAATAATTTTTTTTTTTGGAGAGGTTTTTTTTTTTTTTTTTTTTTTTTTTGCTATAGGGCGTCGTGTGCACTCGCCAGACAGAGAGAGACAGAGAGACAGAAAGCGAGAAATCACCCCCCAGGGGAGATGGCCACGCCACAATCCCTCCTCTGTTCTCCTCTTGGGAGCTTGGGCACGCACACACACGCGTCCGGCGTGAGTTTTAAGCCACCAGGTCTGGGATGTGAACTGCAGTGGACTACATGGGAGTCCAGTGACATAGCCATTACGCCAACTGCTGGTCCCAGCAATAATGTTTTATTTGCATTAAATATCTATCAGGCACTGTACTTAAGCATTACATACAGTATCTCATTTAATCCTCATTGCAACTCCTTAAAGTATAATTGTAGGTGAAGAAATTGAGGTTCAGAGTAAGAACAGAGTTAAGGTAGAAACCCAAGTTAGCCCAGCTCCTTTGACTGTAGTCCAATTTGATCGTTTTTATACACTATTTCTCTTTAATTTAAGGGATGGCTGCTTGGTGGTATTCTCTTAACCCTAAGAAGGGAGAGTAAACTGAAGAAATCAACAGAAGTTCTTAAAACTGAATGATCAGTTTTGCCTTCTGTGCTATTTTACCCACACATAAAGAAAATAGATGCACTCAGCCACTTACTCAAAGCAGGCACATAAATGATGTGTTCATATTCCCTGTCTTAATGGAATTATCCAGTAGAGAGGGAGAAAAAGCAACAGTAGTCAAATATTTGCCTATTGGCATATCCCCAGAAAACATAAAATCCATTTGAAGTGCTAAAGTGGAAATAGCTGTTCATACAACTCATTTTTTAAAATGCTCTCTTGTTTCCAGGTGGTTTTCTTTTTTAAGAAAAATTTGCTATAGGGTGTGTGTGCTCATGGAAGAGAGGCAGAGAGGAGAGGGAAAGAAAGCCACACCCTCCCATACACACAACTTCCTGAGAAAATGGCCACACCACAGTCTGTCTCTTCTTGGGATTTTGGGCATACAAACATACACACCCAGAATGTTTTCCAAGTTGCCAGAACTTGGACTCAAATTGCACATTTGGTCATGTAGGATCCAGCTGTCTTAACCACCATGCTACTGGCTGGCCTCATAAAAACTTTTCAAATTAAATTATTATTGTTTTTAACTGCCAGAGAATACAGTTGTGGATGGAAGGGTAGGAGAGAGAAACCACTCCCCTCTACACTGCTTCCCCTCCCCCTAATTGGGCCATGATCATGCCACAATCCTTTGTATAGGCAGGCACACCTGCCTGGCATTTTTCAATAAACAAATCTTGGTGAATGTTTTAACTACTCATTGGTGGCTGTTAGTGACAAAGACAGAAGAGAAGAAAATAAGAGCTAGGCAAATACACAGCTAACTGACTGCCAAGACCCAGAAATGAGGATCCTTTTACTATCATCTATCTCTATCTATCTCTATCTATCTATCTATCATCTATCTATCTATCTATCTATCTATCTATCTATCTATCTATCTATCATCTATTATTCAAACTGCATTGTTAGTCCACCTATAAAAATTCCATTATTTGGGAGACATTTTTAGACTAGTTATCAGTATTTCCACCAGAGGGCAATAATGTCCTCTACTACAATACAGCTTCAGTCATGGTGAATATTTGTCAGTTGGATGAACAGTAGGGGAGTGAGTTACCCAGTGTGCTTAGACAGCACAGATTTCATACCAAAGCCTAGCAGGAGATACAGCAATGACATAGCTGCAAAGGCTTTTACATCGAAGGTACAAACAGAATCATATGATTGCCGAAGATTACTAAGTTGGGATGGTATTCTAAACCCTGCATATAGTTACTCCTGGAAGATGCCATCAACTTGTATGTTGGCAAGATCTTTTTATCCCATGAAACCAGAGGAAGATCATCTTTCAAACTAGGAAAAGTAGTAGAGATATGGCATTTCTTCTGAGGAGCTCAGGTATCTGAATCACTTTTTCTTATATCATGGAGTAGGTCTCTTGTCTCTGATTACTTTCTCATTCCACTGTGGCAGATTGCAATAACTGGAAAGACACTAAAATGAAATGTGAAGTGCAAAATCTGCATGAGAGATTAAGACCAATGAGTGGAAGGGAGAAAAAGCAAAAGTGGGCACAAAGTTGAACTTTGATGCAGACCTGGCAAAGCTTTATCCAACCTGGTCAGGAACTCTGCAAGACCTACCCCTCAGAGCTCTGTGGAGTCTGAACTCTGAACTGACTAGGTCTTAACCTCCTGTCTCAGTCTTGGACATGAACTGCTCTCTGAAGGGCTGAGGAAGACCCTGAAGGAGCTGTGAGGGAGAGATTGCATACCCCAAATGGACTTTTTCCTACTGAAGACAGATAAATTCAATGTCTAAATGTCAGATAAAGTTGGTAAAGGGGCTCCTTCCTTGTCATGCCAAAAGACTCCTTCTTTAGTAAAGCTATACTGCATGTTTTTGAGAAGGTGGTTCTGCCCCATGGTCACAACGGATTTCCTTTTCCACAAAGTCATGTAGCTGAAAGACAGAAGCTACCCAGGCCAACCTACTCATTTTACATATGTGGAATGTGATGACTATATGAGTTAAGTCACTTCCTAACATTACATAAGAAAGTTTGTAGCATAACCAGAATATAGATTTCATTCATGTATATATGTATATTCTAGCACACCCTAATTCGCCCACATGCACCAATCTGACCACACACTCTTTTTTTTTTTTTGAGGTTTTTTTTTTTTTTGCTATAGGGCGTGTGTGCTTGCTAGACAGGCAGAGAGAGACAGAGAGATAGAAAGCGCGCAATCACCCCCCAGGGCCACACCGCAATCCCTTCTCCTCCATTCTCCTCTTGGGATCTTGGGCACGCACACACATGTGCCCAGCATGAGTTTTAAGCCACCGGGTCTGGGACTCGAACCGTGGTCGACTAGGTGGGAGTCCAGCGACATAGCCATTATGCTAACAGCTGGTCCCTGACCACACACTCTTGTAAGGCACTAAAAAAAAAAAAATTATTATTTTTTATTACCATTATTATTATTTAATTTGACCTGAGAGAGAGAGAGAGACAGGGAAAGGGAGAAAGCAAGCTACCAGGTCTGGTACCCAAACCACGGTTGATCACGTGGGAATCTAGCACCTTAACATCACATCGACCTGCTGGCCCATAAGGCACTTTTTGTAATCAGCAACATAAAGAGGATATTAACATCTGTAGAATAAGTGATAGTGTTATTGAGCATATAAATTTCTTATTTAAAATATTAGTAACATGTAATAGACCATCATAATATAGTAATCTGGCTTCAACCTTTTTTCATCTGATTTCCCTCACTAACCTCTCTTTCGTCTCATAATTGGCCACTCTCTAGTCAGTTGATGACTTAATCGGGAAATCTACCCTGTCCCCTGTTTTCTAGCTGTTGACATCCTTCCTTTCAGGCCAAGTTCAAATGCTATCTTCATTCTGTTTGGTTGAATTTCGTTTATCTGGCAAAAGAGAAGTCTCAGGTAATATGGGTTTTCTCTTGAATGGAAGCCACCTGAGAGCAGGTTTAACAGAACTTTTCATGCATGTCTTTAATGTGGGAGATAATGAGAGAAAAAGGGAGCAAGAGAGGGGAGGAAGGTGAGAAGGTAGGTACGGAAGGAAGATTTGAATTGTGCCTCAAGCTGTCTTGATTATAGGGATAAAGTCTTACTTACAGTAATAGGTTATTATGTTATGCACTTAATAATAATTATTATTATACACTTAATAATAGCACTGTTGTCCCTCATAGAGAGAGAACTGAAGACAGGATAAGTTAAATTGTTTGAGCAACGTTAAATGGCACTTATCTCCTCCCATAATTGTCTTCCTTCTTTTTATTTCCTCCCTTCTTTCTTCTTTGCTTTCTTTTTCTTTTCCTACTATTGATTCATTCGATTGTTTAACACATACTCATTTCCTGTAATGTGTTAAACATGCCAATGTATTTGTATCTCATACTGGTCCGTGATGTGTGAGTGAGAAAGAATCTTCTATGTCTTAAGCCATGAAGATTTGGTAGTTAGTTGTATAGCAGTCCAGTCCCAGCTAATATGGAAGCATTAATCAAAAGTCTGTTCTGTGACTTAATACATTGAAAAAATTAATATATGGAACGGGTTTCCATCTAATATGACAAACACATTTGGAATGGTGTGACTATGGTGATGAGACTGTATGACAGTTCATTGCAGCCCTCACAGTTCTAGTACATTATATGTTTATGTGGAGATTAATTATTATAAAATCCTACTTATATTACCTTCATAAATTTGGATTTATTATTTCTAATACTTTTTCTATTTTTCTTCATTATTTTAGTGTATAGTATCCTATTTGGTCTTCCTGAAAGATTTCTTTCTTTTTTTTTGGCTATAGGGCATATGCACTTGTTAGAGAGAGAGAGGGAGAGCATGAGAGAGTAAGAGAGTGAGAGAGAGCATGCAAGCAAGAAAGTACTCTCTGAGGGTGATGACCACACTGCAGTTCCTTATCTTCTATTCTCTTCTGGAATTACACACACACACATCTATACCTACACCTGGTGTGTTTCAAGCCTCCAGTTCTGAGACTCAAAGCATGCAAGTGAACCATGTAGGACCCTGCTGCCCCAATCACCAGTTAGCCCCCTTGTCACCAGCTAGCCCCTTAGAAAGTTTTTTTTAATCTTTATGATTTTCAGTTTTATCCTTCTTTATATCTTTAAAACTTTGAATAAGTAAATGTTCAATAATGCATACATTTTTTTTCCAGAGGTTTTTGCTATAGGGTGTGTACGCTTGCCAGAAAGACAGAGAGAGACAGAGAGATAGAAAGCAAGAAATCACCACCCAGGGAGGATGGCCATGCTGCAATCCCTTCTCCTCCATTCTCCTCTCAGGATCTTGGGCACGCACGCACACGCGCCCAGTGTGAGTTTAAGCCATTGGGTCAGGGACTCAAACCGCGCGTGACTACGTGGGAGTCCAGTGACATAGCCATTATGCCAGCTGCTGGTCCCAATAATGCATACACTTTTTGACTGAGTACATTAACACTCTGAAACTCACATTTTAAATAAGCTCTTTAATGCAGTGTATTAAGTTCAAAATTAGTGATGCATGTTTAACATTATATGCTTAGCATGTTCCAAAGTTGATATAACAGTATTAAGCCAATGTTTGGATTTTAATTGGTTCTTCAGAAGTCTTGTGAGATTATTGTATAAAGAAGAAATTAAAAAAAAAAAACAGCAAGAATAGCTGGCCCCATAGTATAGTTGTTAAGTACTATATGCTGGAAGCTGGATCCCACATGGCTGACTATGGTTTGAATCCTGGCCCTGGTGGTTTGAAAACAATGCTGGTATTTTTGCATGTGTTCTCAAAATCCTAATGGAATGAAGAAAAAAGGATTATGGCATGACCATGCTCCACTGAGAGGTGCATTCTCTGGTGAGCTCACATGTCCTTTGGCAAGTTAATAAAAATTAAAAATACTTTAAAATCTTAAAGTTACTTATTTTCTATTTTTTTTTCATAGATTTTATTGTCCTGTGTAGATGGTACATGTAAATTTTATTTTCTTGCTAAAGGCACATATGCTCCCCCAACACCCCCCTAGAGAGAGACAGAATGAAAGAAGAAAATTGATAAAGCATCCCTTCCCCTGTGAGGTTAGCTATGCACAGTCCCTTCTCCCATTTTTCTTTGGAGATTTGGGGAACACCCCACTCCCCCCAGTATGTTTTTTAAGTCATCGGGTCTGGGACTTGAATTTAAACTGTGTAGTTGGCTATGTGGGATCCAGCCACCTTAACCACCTCATCATCGGTTGGTTCTTACTTTTTATTCTTAATATGACAAGAAAATAAGGATTTACAGATTTCATGGAAGAACAATTGTCAGAGGAGAATGTTTCCAGACTAAACTCAACTGACTTAGTTTATTTACTTCAGTTTTTGAGTAAACTTGTATTGAGGTCCACTGTTCTGCACTAGGCCTTAGGGAATTCATAGATCTCTTTTGTCAGAGGTAGATTTACAAAGAAGCAATTAAAATGCAATAATAAATGTCTCTATTAGAGCAAGCAAAGTTGCCTTGTACAAATAGCAGACATTTGACTCTTTCTGGGAAAACAGATACTTAAACAGGATGGACTGATAACGGGGAGACTAATAGGACAAGGGCATCCAATATGGTAAAGAGATGTGTGAAGCTCCAGGAAAAGGAGGAAAGCATTGAGTGTTGAAAAACTACAAAATTCAGCGTGCTTTGAATATAATGTGAGAAGTTGGGAAGGGTGCTGGGTGGGAAGGGTGAAGACAAGAAAGGCTTTGTAGGTGATGCTGCTGAGATGGAACCTTGTCTTTATAAAATGCAATGTTATTGTGTGATTTCAAGTTAGGAAGTCATGGTATTTTAAATTTCTTAGTCAGGAGTATACAATATGGAGGAAGGTGCCAAGGATGAGGGTCAAGGGATAGATATGGAGTCTAATGACATGTTTTATATTAAAAATGAAGATCTGACCAGGCAAGGGCCAGAGGACAAGGTGGGAGGGGTGGAAAGAGGATGCATTTAGAAGATAGAATCAATTGGATTTGTACTTTCTTAGATATAACCAATGATGAAGAAAAAGGAGTCTGAGATGAATGTCAGGATTTTGATTTCAGGAACTCCATTCTAATTTTTAATTCTTTTTTTTTTTTTGGAGAGGTTTTCGCTATAGGGCGCATGCGCTTGCCAGACAGATAGAGAGAGACATAGAGACAGAAATCGAGAAATCACCCCCCAGGGAGGATGGTCACGCTGCAATCCCTTCTCCTCCATTCTCCTCTTGGGATCATAGGCATGCATGCACACGCGCCCAACGTGAGTTTTAAGTCATCGGATCTGGGATGCAAACTGTGGTCGACTATGTAGGAGTCCAGCAACATAGTCATTACGCTAACTGCTAGTTCCCTAATTTTTAATTCTTGACAATAAGAAATGCAAGGTGTTATGGGCTCAGTTTTTTTTTTTTTTTTTTTTTTTTTTTTTTTTGG